TTCCTGGTGGTTGACATGCGGAATGTCAACCACCACGGCTCTATAAATGAACACACAGCTCTATAAATGAATAAAATTATCTTTTAAAACAAATAATTTATGCTTTCTAATAAAAGGAAAAACACAAACTCGCCTGTCCACTACAAGACACGCAGTGATTTGTTCATATATCTCAAAAAATTTTAAATAAGACCCTCCTTCATTTTGGAGGTTGGATCCTGAGCAACTCGCTCTGAGGAAATTATTCATTCATGCATCGAACTTCGACTCTCGAGGAGCGAGTTGAGTTCACCCTCACTTGCCTCGCTTAAAATGAGGACATCATCCCTGTACCTTTTATACAGGACAAGTCCATGTATTTGTCGACAAAGCATAATTCGAGCGAATGCATAAAAATACCGGCCACCTCAGGCGAGCACTTGGACCTGGAGGCTTAACCAGCAAGGAATATTGGCTACTTCGCAAAGACATTCCTAAAAGCCCAACGTTAAGGCACATCGACCACCCGATGGCCCTAATACGAAAATAGGAATCTAAATAAACGCGTCTGGGATAATGAGTACAAATAAAATATTTTAATCTTCGAAGAGAAAACAAAATAATATATTCTTAACGAAAACGCGAAAGGCCAAGAGAAACAAAATAAATCGAACTAGTCGAAAATACAAGATATTTATTTAATAAGGAGCAAAAAACTGGCACAAAAATATTGAAGCTTACCCAGTTAAAATTTAGGGCAGGGAATAGAGCAGGCCGTCGCCGGCTGCAGAGCCGACGTAGGGACGCGACAGAGCCGCGATAAAGCAGAAATGTCCGCATTAGAGACGATATCGCCAGCCGCGTAGCAGCGCTAATTCACCTCTGAGTACCTGCCTAGGTGTGCTCTGTCCTGCCGACACGCAGCCCTCACTGAGCCTCGNGACGTCAGGCAAGGCGACAGACGTCAGGCAAGGCGACAGACGTCAGGCCGGAAACCGCTGACGCTTAGATCGTAGCAGCTCAAAGAATGCACGATTGAGTTTATGTGGCTAAGTTGGAACCAGTATGAAGATAAAAGTTTCCCTAATACGTGAACAGGTTGCAGCTGAAAATCAGGTGAGACTGTATGAAAATGTCACTCAAGCACATGATCAAGGTGCACAGTGCTGCTTCTGACTAACAACTTAACCTAATAATCACTCACTTATGACTATATATGCATATCAAATCATATAGTTGAATATAGTCATATATTCAGAAGACTTAAGGCTGAAGTTTGCGACCGGAACAGTGGCCGGTCGCACCCGAATCTACGACACAAATGAGGTAGTTTCAGGTGGCCGCCTGAAAACGGCTTTTCTCGTCATGAATGGTCACGTTCTACTAAACGTATTAGTATCGTTTTAGACAATTCTCTATTTGGGTATTAAATGCTCGATAATTAAATCTAAAATGAAAGCTTCGGATGAAAGGCTACCTGTTTCTTGGTTGCGCCTCTTTTGTAATCTTGATAATAATCTTTATATTAAACAACTGACATATTTTCCTGTAATTTCAAACCTTGTGTCCTGCGAGGCTTGGTCTGCATGTCATTATCTGATGTTTGTCTGCTGTTCTTTGATAAGTTTGCACATATATTACACCATCATTATATATTAACTGTTTAGATAGAGTAATTCTATAGGGAGATTATCTGTTTAGATTGATTCTGTAGATAGATTAAGTGTATATAAATTGTAATTGAAATTTAAATTTTAATTACAATGATCAGTTAAAGGCGCCTAATAAGAACTAGCAGTTAATGCTTAGTTAGTTAAATATGTAAAGTTTTAACTACAGTAAAGAGTTAATGAAAGCTGACTGTGCGCGACGCCAGCAGCGAGGAGCGAGCAGGTATATGCCTGATCACACGCACGGTAATGCAAACAACCTCAACTTATTACAAACATTCCATTTGCAGACAGAAATCCAGATCAATTTGGGACAGAAAAACATATTAGCTGATCTGCTCACATTTTCAGTACCTGCAGCCTACGTGAGCCCCGACAGGTCTTATCTTATCAGTTGAGATAACGGCCCACTGAGGAGGGAGGCTCTGTGATGCGTGATCATGTCTTTACATCGCGGTGATGTCTATGCCTGGTGAGAGGTTATGTCTGCATCGCGGTGATGTCTATGCCTGGTGAGAGGTTATGTCTGCATCACGGTGATGTCTATGTCTGGTGAGAGGTTATGTCTGCATCGCGGTGATGTCTATGTCTGGTGAGAGGTTATGTCTGCATCGCGGTGATGTTTATGTCTGGCGACTATTATTGACTTGATATTAGCAGCTATTATTGACTTGATATTACCAGCTATTATTCTGTCTCTTATACACATCTAGATGTGTATAAGAGACAGAGATAACACAGTGATGCAAGATAACAGTGATGCAAGATAACAGTGATGCAAGATAACAGTGATGCTATATAACTGTGGTGCAAAATAACAGTGATGCAAGATAACAACAATGCAAGATAACAGTGATGCAAAATAACAGTGATGCAGGATAACAGTGATGCAAGATAACAGTTGTGCAAGATAACAGTGATGCAAGATAACAGTGGTGCAAGATAACAGCTAGTGATGCAAGTTAACAGTGATGCAAGATAACAACGATGCAAGATAACAGTGATGCAAGATAACAGTGATGCAGGACAACAGTGCTAAATGATAACAGTTCATGAAAATTATCCAGGTGAATAATCACCAAACATTACAATAAATAACGACTATACAATATATACTTGTATGGCACCCAGGGGCGCCGCCCCCCGTGCTGGGCAAGACTCACTGAGGCTCTTGTATGTCCCCCCGAGGGCGCTGAGGTCCAGGGGCGCCGCCATGTTGATGAGGAGGTCAGCGTCGCGGGCCACGCATGACGCGAGGGCGGCCACCCCAGCGCAGGTGCCCACGCAGCCTTTGAACAGCACCAGCCTCACCCTGTCCCCCAGGAGGGTGAGGGAGGCATGAATATGACCAGCAATCCATTGTAATGGACCAGCAATCCATTGTAATGGGCCAGCAATCCATTGTAATGGACCAGCAATCCATTGTAATGGACCAGCAATCCAT